TCATGGTAAACGTTAGAACCACTCAAACGGAATATTATCATATTTACCCAAGTACACCAAAATTTTCATTAGTGCTTTTTAAGTGCAGGATTTGCGGTGTTTTACTGCATTTTATTTGAGATGTTTTTATGATGTGTTTGTAGTACGGAGGGTATTTATTTAGCAATGCAGAATAATAATTATTATTTTTAAAAACTTGTATTTAAACTGAATCCTTTTCTAATTTGCGAAACCAAATAGCCGCCATTTTGCGGTAGGATGAGCGCATCGCGTGAGCGGCTAAGGGTGGTAAACTAGAGGTAAACTACACTTTCCGTTAACCTATCGCAATAAAACTTGGCAAATAGATGTAATTCCAATAAAAAAGCTGATAAGCAAACGTTTGAGGTCGGTTTTTTTAAATAAACAAGTTATAATTAAACGAGAAATCTCTAACTTCACTGTCTTTTAAACATTGTTTTTTTTTTTAACAGCCTCCGTAGCCGAACGGTTGCAATGTTGGTCTGCCACGCAGAGGTTCCGGGTTCCCGGGCCGGGACAAATGGTTAATAATTTGTGGTTGTCTATGTGTGTGTCCATTGTCTAAGATTTTGGATTTTCTCATGCTGTCTCAAATAAAAAAGACACACTGTATACTAGCTTCTATGAATACCCCATACTATGTTTGAAATTGCTATAATTATCTAAACTCGAGGTTAGCATTATTACTATGATCCGCAGTCCAACGTAGGCCTTCTATAGTGTACCATGCACTATCTTGCGGTAGACTCACAAATTAGAGAGGAACAATTACTTGTACAGTACTTCTATTTTCTCAATATCCCTCGGCAAACTTCGTGTATCGGCCGTCGTCAGGTTTCATTCAGTTGCCCTTTGCCTTTGGGACAGACCGGACGCTTCCAGTCGACTTGGAACTATATACAGTTGTCATTACATTTTTTATATATTATCCGATAGGAGGAAAGCCGCTAAAAACAAAGGCACGACAGGTAATTTAGAGCGTGTACTTGTATTATTTACACGCAACTGATACGTTCAAGAAAGACAACAATTGTTACTTTCAAAAAGTCCAAAAGCTTGTGGTGTTTCTATCGGAACAGTAAAGAATATTTTAAAAGAATATTATAGAAAAGATAAATCCGTTTCTTTTCCTTTCTTTTAATTTATATTTTTGTTAACTTGCTTATTGACGTGGAGTGAATGTTAATAATAATCTCAGTACAGAGTACTAAAAAAACCTACCTCTAAAGTACGTGAAATTACGTTTATTTGCTAAGTTTTATTGACATGTCCCCTAGTTCGCCCCTATACAGGACTTGAGACTGGAGATAATAAAAATCGGTTCTCACTACTCAAAGTATATTAAGAGAAAAACGCCTTGAATTTGAGAAATAGCAAAATCAACTATTAAACTAATTGCTCCTAAATTAAAGTTAGGCGCTATTTATAAAAATAAATCTTCATGCGTGAACAGCCATCTTTAGAGGAGGATGATTTCCTTCAAAATATAACGGGACCACTATGGAAGTACCCCCTTTCCAACAAAAAAAGAATCATGAAAATCGGTTCACAAATACCGGAGTTATCGCGTAACATACATACAAAAAAAGAAAAGAAAAAAGAACATACAGTCGAATTGCGAACCTCTTCCTTTTTTGAAGTCGGTTAAAAATAGGGACACATTGAAATTTTTATTGAATTGTTATTCAATTGTTTTCATGTGAAATCACTCCACTAGTTTGTTATAATTATTAATACAAAGATTGAACTCATAGATGGCGCTGCGGCTAAAAAGTCGTTGAAAAATCAAATACAAAGATACAACGCAAACGCAGAAAAAATTCTCTCGATGCGCGTCATACTCTGAGGCAGAACCACCTAAGCTTTAATAAATTTTTATTGATCCAAAAATGTCCATTAGATTTCTATAAAGTTCTAAAATATTTATGACTACATATAGTATAAGCAAATATATGGCATCAAATAATTCTATAACAATTCTATATTGACCTAGCACCCCCAAACCCTCAATCTATTTTGAATATACGTACAAAATGATGCCTCAAACTTTCTCCTCGAAGCAGTCGCTAAGCGCCTACATAAAAGTTCTTAGCAAGGACATGAAATATCATTGTTTGTTGTGTCATTGTTTGGGCTGGTGATTTCGGTGTTTATTTATTGAAAACACACCGTAAGTAGCGTTTTTTAAGTTTACCCTGAATATAAATGTTTATAAACTATACTTTAAGGAGTAATTTCATGGTAAACGTTAAAACCACTCAAACGGAATATTATCATATTTATCCAAGTTCACCAAAACTTTCATTAGTGCTTTTTAAGTGCAGGATTTGCGGTGTATTACTGCATTTTATTTGAGATGTTTTTGTTGGTAGTTCGGAGGGTATTTATTTAGCAATGCAGAATAATAATTTTTATTTATAAATACTTGTATTTAAACTGAATGCTTTTCTAATTTGCGAAACCAAATAGCCGCCATTTTGCGGTAGAAGGAGCGCATCGCGTGAGCGGATACACCGTAAATTTTAAAACTTAGAAATTATTATGACTTAATACAGTACGCAGCAATACAGTCTTTTGGTTTCAGATGCAGTACAGCGTTGCGGGGCGCCCGAGTTAGCAAAAACTCTCCGATCGCGCAAATGTCTCAGGAGCAGGGGTCTACTAACATTTGACGCGGCTCAAACTTTAACAATAAAAAAACGACATTCTATCGTGTCAAACCAAAACACTGCAAAGTACAATACAGTCACGAAAAATGGGCCCCACTCAATGGCAATTCAAATATTTAATGCTGTAACCCAACCACATAAAACATTAAAAAAAAAACACTTCTTTCTTTTATCTTCTACTTTCACATATCGAGGAGTGTGCGCAGGAACTTTTCAATTTTGTTCCGCCCTCACCGTTACTCATTCGGTCGACTAGAAGGTCCTGAACACTCCATCCTTATGTCGTTGATATACCACCTATTCGCACTAAGCGCTTTGCTTCCTCCTTTCTGATGCGTACGACCAAGGAATGGAATTTGTGTTTCCCGAAAAGTACAATTTGGGTCTATTCAAGACTAGAGTGAATAGGCATTTTTTCGGCAAACGCTTGACAAGTCAAACCGAAAAAATCTTTCTTTATGTTTGATCTTTGTATTAATAGCTATGAAAATTGTTTTACTATGAATATCGTATCGTAACGATATTTATAGTCAAACTGCCACATGTGGTGCTTATTGCTTAGTTAGCATTTAAGTTTACTTTTATTTTAAATTGTATTATTTACTTATATTCTGGAAACCGAACAATAAACATGTCTCTATAAATCAACGTATTTCACTCTATCATCTACGTCCATCCTTTTTAATAACATGAGATGTCGACTCATGTGAAGAACAGTAAATTTTAACAGCATAACAATGAAGATTGCAAGACAGAAAATTAAATATCAAGAAAGAAAAAAGAAAATCATATTATAGAAAATCAAGAAGAAAAACTATAGAAGAAGAATTATGGAAGACTGCAAGAAAGAAGAGAGAAGCGTACGAGCGGTGTTCAGGGTAATTACGGCCCACGGAGTCCAGGGTATAACCTAATGTTATAATAATAATAATGTTTGAACTGCACGAAAGGAGCTTCCCAGCCATTGACTTACAAATAAATGGACGACGGGTCTAATACAAAAACCACGAAAAAAAAATGTCCCAAGTCAACCTATTCCAAATTTAAATTGTTATGTCATCGCAGGTATCGCGCTGTCAGTAGAACAAATGAAGACTAAAGCGGAGTGTCGCGCTCTGTATACGATTTTAGCGCCTTACAAGTGCGGACACTTTTTAGCGCGGACCCGACGTCCATATAATTGTAAGTCAATGTTCCCAGCACGTATTTTTTTAATATCAAGTCGAACGAGTCGACCAAGTCGCGCGTCTGGTGGTAATAACAGAAAAAACATAACAGTTACAGTGCCATTCAGAGCTTTAAACAACAAAGATCTTAGGGTCACTGAGTCATAAGTTGACAAGTCCCATGTCCTGTAATTTCACTAGCACCCTTCCTTGGCGGCAGAAATAGGTAATGGGGCAGTAGTTACCACGACGGACGAACTCTTTCACAATGAGTTCTACTGCTGCTACCCCGTATAGGAACATAGCAATAATCCAACACACAGCATACAATTCCTTACGTAAATGTTAATTACATGTTAATTATCAGCATTTTATACATTTTTGTATCATACGGTACAACGTTTTGGCAACTATGATGTAGGGTTGGCCACTATGCTGTTACATGTTACTGTAATAGGCAATAATAGTCTGTATATTTATTATTATGTAGCAGTTAATTTAACTTTAAACTGCCTCCGTGGCCGAACGGTTACCATGCCGGACTGCCACGTAGAGGTCCCAGGTTCGATTCCCGGGCCGGGCGAAATATTTGTATGACCTACATTTATTTCTCTCGTGAGTTTGGGTGTAATTTGTGGTTGTCTATGTGTGTGTCCCTGGCACCCGCGACACAGGGTTTCCCTAGTGCGGGGCTATGTTGAGTGTGTGTGTGCGTTATTAATTTATATATATTTATGTATACAAATATATGTGTAGGTAAAATATATATCTGTTAATATTATAATGTAAATTTTTATTAATGCATTTACATTTTTACCATTGGCACTCTACGTGTCCCTCTCTGTTTATCTCTCCTCTGCCTCTAAGGTTGTCTGGAAGAGATCGCTTTCAGCGATAAGGCCGCCACCGTCCACATTAATTATAAGTTGTCAATGTGTTAACGTATATGAGTTGTCAACGTTCTTTTTTGTGTGTGTGGTGTGTAAGCGATAAAGTGTATATCACGCTACCATAATTATTCTCTTGAGAATAAATAAATGAAATCAAGGAAAAACCTTTGATACAAATTTTACACTACAAATTAAATTAAAATTGAAAACGTATACCTTATTTGTAAAAAGAAATAAGTAAAATAATTACTCACAGCAATAATATTTTCTATCAGACTGCCGTCCCCAACAGAGAACGGACCATTGCTTATGCGCTCCTGCGCATGTGAATTTAGCACCACCGCATCCTGCGCATCCCTGCAGATTGGCCAAAATGGTGTCTTCCCTTATTAAAATCTTAGGTATAATTATTACTTTTTCGTTTTCTTCTTTACCCAACATGGGTGTGGTCGACGAAGTATTTTCTAAGTTTTTGTGATCCATTGTTTCACTTTCTATTGTTAACTAATAATTAACGTTACAGTTCGAAATATTACATACGATTTATTTAAAATAAACACAAATTTAAAATATTTTAAAATATCCACTTAATGAAAAAATAATATGTTCAATTATTTTAATTGAAAAAGCCCCATTGGTGAGGTTATGAATATTGGTATGTTTTTTTTTTCAAGTACAGCCGCAGCACGTCTGCCACCGGTGCGTTCTACGTATGGACTGCCGTCATATCTAATGGGTCAAGCAGTTTATCGATATTTTTTATATACAAGCGTAAAACGGTAAATAGGTTATCGAACACGTATGTTTTGTTGTCTAAGAAAATTCGTGCGTATGTATAGCTACTTAAGTGTCATCTTACTTGTTGTTACAAAGACGAAAGTCCGTATAATGTGCGTCATTATTCGCAAGAAGACGAAACTATAAAGTACTTCACTAGTGACAGCGGAGCTCCTTGTGGAAGAGTTCATCCAGGGAAGTATCTCACCTAAATAGGTGAGGTTAGGAACTCTTCGGAACATAGTTACTTCAGCTGTACCAAGCACAAGTATGGGATGGCTCTGCTAAATACCAACTGGCCACCTTGGATTCAATAGACAAGCGTGCCAAAAGGCTTATAGGTGGCTCGGAATTAGCGCCGTAAAGTTGCCGTTTGGCCTGCTTATCGGTATTCTACAAGATATGTATATCACGGAGAGTGTGCGATAGAATTGCATAATTTGATTCCGCCTTCCCCTTTCCATCATCGGGGGACTAGGCGTAGGCTGGGATTCCATCCCTATGTTTTGGATATTCCAAGGATAAACACAAAGCGTTTTGCTTCCACATATATACCGAGCGGTTAGAGAGTGGAATTCCCCACCTGCGTATTCCCCGAAAGCAATAAATTGGACCTTTTCAAGGCTAAAGTGAATAGGCATTATTTAGGTGTCCTTGCTACATCGTCAAATTCATTATGACTTTCCATCAGGTGAGATAGACGTCGAATGCGCACTTATTTTTAATAAATAATGAAATATAAAAGAAACTGTTTTAACATGTGTGTTATTATTTATAATAATTTACCAAGTGAAATTAAATTATTGCAAGGACATACATTTAAATTAAAATTGACAAAATTTTTTTGATTTTTTGCTTTTGACACATTGCTTATAAACTAATAAAGAATATTTAGAATTTTCAAATGCAAATATAAATTAATCCGAAGTGTAATTAATTAATGGTAGAGACTGAACAAGAAATCCTATTAATATTTGCACATCTGCTTGCAGATTGAATACAATGTACCTAATTTTATTTAAGACCTATGTAATTACTGTATTCTGGCAAATAAACGTATTCTATTCTATTCTATTCTATTCTATTCTATTCTAAAAAAAAAATGTACTGGTGAAATTGCAGGCACATGGGACTTATCAACTTATAAACTAAACAAGTAATTGACTAATAAAGTATACTATACAGTGTCCGAATTTTTGAATGATAAATTCCTAAATTCATTGTCTAATTTTTGACATTGACATATTACGATGCTATTTTGACATCTAATTACAATTAGAATTGACCCTTGCAACTATCATCGTGTTTGAATTCTGACCGATTTATTAAATTCATTTGTACACCTCCTTAATATATTATTGAAAAACGAAACATGTTTATTCATTTTTTGTGTAGTTTAATCTGTCGTGCATGTGAGTGAATGTAATATACCTTCAATATTCGTACTTTATTTCTTCTACTACTACCACTTGTACTGTTTGGCCGGGCACAGTGAAACTACATATACTTATTTTATACATGTCAGCTTCTATATAACCTGTGTTTTCACAAATAAATGAATTATTATTATTAAAAACTTAGAATTCTACGTATCATACTGAAGTAGGCAGTTATAATATTGTATATTTATTATTTTACAATATTATAACTGCCTTCGTGGCCGAGCGGTTCGGAACCTGGATTGCCGAGCAGAGGTGCAGGGTTCGATTAACGGGCCGGGAGAAATATTTGTATGGCCTACATTTATTTCTCTCGTGAGTTATAGTTTAATTTGTGGTTGTCTATGTGTGTGTCCATGGCACCCGCGATACAGGGTTTCCATAATGCGGGGTTATGGGTAGGTATGTGCTTTATTATTATCAAATGTCAAAATGAAACAAAATAACATAATATTACATTTTTATTACGACCGACTTAATGTAAGCGATAAATAACGAAATTTATAGGAGAGAGATTTTGACTTGGTGACAATGGGACCACCACGAGAGTGCACCTTTTCAATCCAAAGAAAGAATTTTCAAAGTAGATCTACAATTGACAGAGATATCTGGAAACTTACATAAAACATATTTACAGCCGAACGTATAACCTCCTCTTTTTTTTTGAAGTCTGTTAAAATACAGCTGAGCTAAAGATATACTCAGTATTTGCTTTAATTTCCATTTGACATAATTTTGGCGGAAAATGTCCTTGTCCGTTCATATTTAAAATATTGAAATATTCCATGTGTTACACACATCTAAAAATTTAAATAGTACCAACATGTTAGGGTGCCGCAATTAAAATTATAATAAATTAAAAATAAACAACAAGAACATAAGACTAATAAAATTTAAAAACTAGCAATAAAAACAATAATTGTATAAGTATTAAGTATAGAAGTATATATGTGAGTTATAATAACATTTTTTTATCAAATGTGCTTTAAGCTGTTTGGTAAATAGATTAGTCTGTGTTTTGGATGAAATTTCCTTGGGTATTCTACTGAAGATTTTAATTTTTTAATGTTTTTGTAATTTTGTTAACTTTTTATTTATTCTTATTTTTTAACCGACTTCAAAAAAGGAGGAGGTTCTCAATTCGACTGTATGTTCTTTTTTTTTTGTATGTATGTTACGCGATAACTCCAGTATTTGTGAAGCGATTTTCATGATTCCTTTTTTGTTGGAAAGGGGGTACTTCCATAGTGGTCCCATTTCATTTTGAAGGAAATCATCCACCTCTAAGGGTGACTGTTCACGCATGAAGATTCATTTTTTATAAATAGCGCCTAACTTTAATTTAGGAGCAATTACTTTTATCAATTATTTAGTTGATTTTGCTATTTCTCCAATTCAAGGCGTATTTCCCTCGATATACGTTGAGTAGTGTCGTAGTGAGAACCAATTTTTATTATCTCCAGTATCAAGTCCTGTATAGTGGCGAACTAGGGGATATTTCAATGAAACTTAGCAAATAGACGTAATTCCACGTACTTTTGAGGTCGGTTTTTTTAGTACTCTGTACTGAGATTATTAATGATATGATCGTTAAAAACAATCATGACCATTTTGTAATAACATCATTTGCAATAAAAAACACAGTTCAGATAAAAATTTCGCTTATGATATGTCTCTCAGATCTTCGCGATTGAAATCTCTGAGTATACTGCAACTGTTATGGACACCCGTGTGTACGACACGAACAAGTCGTGCGCCTGGTGGTCTTATCACTGCCAATGCGCCCGCTACCCTGAGACATAAGTTGACAAGTCCCATGTGCCTGTAATTTCACCAGCACCAAACCAGAACACAGTAATGCTCACATTACTGATTGGCGGCAGAAATAGGTAAGTGGCAGTACTTCCCTGGATGTTGATATAATAAAAAATAATAATATCGAAATTGTCCATAATCTGATGTACAATTTGACACTATGAAAGTAAGAAATAAGACACATTCAAATGACTCTCACAAATGACACAACCTAAAAACAAAAAATAAAATTGTTTGTTATAATTATTAATACAAAGATCGAACACTCAGAAAAAATTCGTCTTCTTGCATACCGTGCCAGACGCTATACCAACTAAGCCACGGAACGAACCAACGGACCTCAAGAATTCTTCTATGTATTTGCGTCGTGTCTTTGTACTTGGTCTTTCAACGACTTTTTAGTCGTAGCGACATCTATGAGAAATCTATGACAGATTTATCACCCAGTTAGTACCTTTACAGCTACCAGTCCTGGCGAGAGATGTCGCTATTCACTGTATTAATTAAATTTTTATTGAATTGATATTCAATTATTTTTTGTGAAATTACTCCACTAGTTTGTTATAATTATTAATACAAAGATCGAACACTCAGAAAAAACACTCAGATAAAATTGTTTGTTTAAATAAAGACACTTCGGTTTTTGATTTTGGACTTAACTTATCGTAAGTGACATATAGTTCAAATAGGCTTGGCGTACTCTTGACCATGTACGTCTGTCCGTTTTCGTAGTTTTATTGGTTCTTCCATCGAGTATATAACCAGAAATAGAGACAAAATGTCATTCAATTTGTTCGAAAATTATTCAGCCAAATCATTACTGTGACAACTGCGCTCCGATTGGCTAGCCCGAGCTCGAAACAATTGACGGGTGTCGTCAATTGTTTCACTTCAAATCAACCAAATTAACTTGAGCTTTGCTACAATAGACGAAAATTGAAAAATTACATATTTAATATTTAATTACCGATTAAATGTGATTCCGTGTGTTTTGTAATTAGATGTTTTGCTGTTTTTCCCACACCACCGAATAGAACAGCGCCCCATAGTCAGAGATATTATCTTTATTACAATAAATACAGAATATTTTTGGAATACACGGAGACGTACACACAGGTCAGTAGTTGGTGCTGTACTATTTCAGCTTCCTAATTTGTGATTTCAGTGAAAACATCATTTCATTTGCCTAATGAGTTGCCAGGGATGACCCATATTTCGTCACTATTTCTGGTTATATACTTGATGCCCGTCGAGTTCTTACGTTTTCGCTATGGTTACATATAGGAAATCTAAATGTGTAAAAGAGACAGTATAACATGATTAGACCAAACAAAAGGCGAATGGCAATAACGCAGTAAGTAATCATTAGAGCATTCATAATTCAGTCATTTTTGGCAAAATATTATTTATCTATTTACTTTTTTCATAATATCGAATGACGGAATGCACAAG